AAATATGATATAGTCTTGAACTTTATTATTTCAGAAATATGTTATTAACTTAATTGTAATTTCTTTTTAAGAAAATAAGCTATTCAAATACTTGTAATTTAAAATTATTACATTTGGAAGATATAATATTTTCAGCATCTGAAAAAAGATGTTTACTAAGTGTTGATGTTGTAAGAATAGAAAGATATTTGCAAGCAAGCTTAATAATTTATAAAACCTCTCTTGATTATTTTTCTATCAGTTAAAAGGATTATGTATTAAAGAAATTTCTGCTTGAACAAGATAATTAGTTACTTTATTAATTCGAGGATAATGTAGCTAAAATATTCAAGTAATAAGTGAGTTATCACTTTTAGTTATTTGTTAAAATTCTTTATAATTAGATTGTAAGTTTGCAATCATATTTTTTAATATATTCATTATTTTTAATTTTTTATTTTCAGAGACAAAATTAAGTGATTTACATCAGGAATCCAATAATGCTACTAGCATTTCAACTTCAGAAGGAACTAAATAATAATGATACAAGCTTTTATTTAAGCAGTTTTAATTTATTTAATAAGTCTATTATAATTTTGAAGTGTATTAATCTGGATTTATAGAGTTCTATTGTTTATCTCATCTATTTTCTCATTTGCATCCTTATAAATAATATTATTATCAAATGCAGTTGCACTTGATTCAAAGTTAATTATTACTGAATTATCTTTAATATCTAATACAAGATCAAAAGCTAAAATTGAAATTACATAAAACATAAAACTAATTGTTGAATAATTGCTTCTTCTTAAAAATCTCATTGCATTAGTAAATAGTTTTAATACAGAAAGAAGATCTTTAATAGTATTCCATTTAGTATTAGTTAAATTAATTTTTTTAAGTTGTCTTACTTTTTGTTTTGATTCATAATTAGTTTTTGTTTTAAGTATACTAATTATTATATTTATTGCAGATCATAATTTTATTAATCTTTTTCATACAAGATATGATGAGTTCTATCAAGTTTTTGTATCAGCAATAAGTTGCAAATAGCAATCTGTTTTGCATAAAATCTAAAAAAAATAATAGTATTATAATTAGTTAACTAATTAATTAATAAATAAAATAATATATATATAATATTAATTTTTTTTTAATTGCTAATATAAATAAACACATATAGTCTTCAGGCATGTTTATTTTTAATTGAACTTGTTCTAACTTTTCACTTTGTTTTGGGCTTATAAAAAAATTAATCAACATCCTAGTCTAAGCAACAAGTATTTTACAAGAAATAAGCCTTTTTTCAACTACAAGCTATAAAGTATGTGCAGTATATGATATTCAAGTTAATTCAGATAAGAACTATACTGCCTTAACTATATTACTTCTGTTATCAGTAGTAATACAAAAAATTCATTCATCTAAATTTCACTTATTAATAATATCTTCTACTATATTTGCAATAGACATACCTATATATAGATATAGTAAATATCTAAGAGCTAAAAGCAATTCGTTTAATTTAAAATTTTTATCCAAATACAAACAGATAATTTTAATATATCTATTTTTTGATCATGCTGTCCACAAATTAGTTGTTAATGAACAATAAAAAAGTGTTTCTAAAAGTTTATTTATAAGCTGTTGCTTTGTATATGTAAATGCTTGCAATAACAAAATTTTTATAGTTTTTTTAGATGAAAGTTTATAATTAGGGACTGCTTTCTTTATTAATTCAATAAATTCATTATCTGCAATTACTGAAAGAGGTTGTTAATCCTTATATATAAAGGATATGATCTTATTATTCAAGATTTGTTTACGAATAAAATTTATTTGATTATGTTTAATATTTGATATATTATCAATGTTGTCTTTAGTAATACTATGTGCCATTTTAAAATAATACTAAAAATTCTCTTTTGACTTTGCAATATTGAGATTTACCTTTTTTTTACATTGTTCATATCTATTTTTACCAAGTATATTTACTTTACATCTTCAACTTGTTTGATTTTGTTCTTTTTAAAATAAAGCTACACCTTATTTATTGAATTTTCTTCATTGGATTCATCAGATTCATTGAAAGAAACCAATGCTAAAAGTAAAGTATCAACTTTTTTTTTAAAAAATTTTGAGAATTATTGCTTAAGTTACTTTTATAAATTTTATTTATAGTTAACAATAATAAGACAAAAAAAATTTTTTTTATATTTAATTTTTTATATTTAGTTTTTTATTTTTATTTAAATATTCATATATTTTATTTAATATATTAAACTTTTTTTAATTTATTTATTTGACTTCATTATTATTATTAATTAATTATCGAATAATCAGATAATCTGGTCTAATTATCTGAAATCACAATTTATTTAAAGAATTATATCATATTCAGATTATTTTAATTAGTTAGATAAAAAGTTCTATCTCTATTACTAGGTCATCACATCTCTACTTCAAAATTTTACTATAATAGATAAATAATTTTATTTAAAATATTAAATATTATAAAATTTTTTTATTAATTAATTAAAAAATAAAAAAAATTTTATTAATAACATATATAGATAAAAATTTTAATATACTATACATAACTATATAAAAATAATCTATATGTTCTTTACTCTTAATATATTAAATTTTAAAGCTTATATATACTGTAAACATTCTTTAACATATGAATGTTAAGATATTGAATGTTAAGACATTGATATAATTTAAAATAATCTTAAATATAATATATAATAATATAGATTTATATAATTAAAAATTTTATCTAATTAATAAGTTTTTTTTTATAATAATTTTTTTATAAATTTTAGTTTAGTTTTTAGATTTTTTAATAATAATTTTTGTTTTTTTTAATATATTGTTTATAGATTCTTTATTTTATTTTTTTTATTTAATTTTTTTATTTTTATAAAGTTTTATAATATAGAATTTTTGATAAAATATCAAAAAAAGATATAGTAATCTAGTAAAATAGATAGTTTGACAATCTCTAAGTGATAAATTTAGTGTTTAATTCTTATAAATGATGAATTTTAGAAATTATATCTGTATTATAACAACTGTCTTGTATTCAGTTAGATTAGTGTATCTGTAACCTTTAGTCATACTATCTTAAATAAAAGCTTAGAGCATCTATATAAAGTATAATATTACATATATATAGAAGAATATTAATAACTAGTATTGTATAAGACTTTAGTACAAACTCATGATAAAATTATTGATACAAAAAAATAAAAAAACTAAAGAATCAAAAACCTATTTAAAAATTTTAAGTAAAGAAATAACACAGATTTTTAACAGTACTATTGGACTAATAAAAACTTATAAAATATCTTCAAAGAAACAGATTAAATAACTCAAACAACAGATATATAAAAAAAACACATATATCAACCAGACTACTAAAATTGCTAAAAAAAAAAGATACAAAAATATATTATACTAGACTATTTGAATTGGTAATCTAAAAAGTTCTATTAGTTTTAAGTAATAATTAGTAAAGAATAATATTAAAAAAATGTGTATTTGAGTTTGAATAAACTTTACAAATATAAAAATTATTCAATAATTAGTTCTAACTGTAAGTATTGGTTTTGACTATAGCAATACCAAATTAGTTGTAAATAGGAATATAGAAGATTCTGGAAGGTTTTTATCTCAAGAATAAAAATAATCTTATGAACCATAATTCTAAGGTTGAAACAAGAATCTGAATTCTAAGTAACCTAATAAAGTTAATATAAAGATTGCAGATCAGAGGATTTAAATAAAATATTCAAACAAGAATGTTAGATATAGCAACTGATAATAAATCTTTGGGCGGACTCCTTAAATAGTAATATAGAAAAGTTATATATGTAACTAGTTGTACATTTTTCTGTAATAGTTTAATATGAATAAATGTCTATATGAACATGTGCCCAAAAAACATATTAATAAAGTCAAAAAATCAAAGAGGTCACCTTAATATATAAAAAAAAAAAACTATCTAAAACCTATCTATCAATTTAAAAGTACAAATACTTAATAAATTAAAAGTCTTTAATAAGAAAAATCTTTTGGTATAATGAGTTAAATCTAAGTATATCATTTTAAAACCTTTGTTAATTTTTTCTTTGTTAACATATATAACTAACAACTAGAGTTGTTAATGAAATACTTCAAATTATAATAAAGCATTAAATCCATTTCTGGAATGCTCAAAATAGATTATATGTATTATTATTAACTGGAGTACTCCATTAACAACTCTATTAAAAACTATAATTATTTACAACATACTAGGTGACTAGATACTAATAGGTACTTGGAAGTCTATTTATAACAAGTGTTAAGTATTAATAGAAAAAAACTACTAAAGAGAAAAAAAGGTGCAACTACAAACTAAGATAGAGATCAGATACGTATAAAGATCCAGTATAAGCTTTTTGAAAGTTTCGAATATTTTTATTTAGTATATTTGACTTAGATTAATTATAATTTTAAACATAACATAATCTTCTAATATGTATAATCTTCAAGCTTGTATAACTTATAATCTCCCGATCACTATGTCAAGATCACGGGAGGATTATTATTACTAATAACTTTATTATATGGCAAAATTTTATATCGATCACTATTACAGCAAATAACAGACATGATTTATAACTAAGAAATCATATAATCATCATATATAAAACATGGTACGTATGACTCAGATCATTGGAAAAGACTGCCAATCTACCAACGAGGCAAATATCAAAGCTACAGGAACATAATGAAAGTTTGTTTTATTGGTTATTTATTTTCTATTGAAAAAGATTGTTACATAAATATACTGTATATTACTGATCAAACCCAACCCTCTCAATTTTGGAACTAAATCCGAAGGATATTACATTTAATAATAAATTAGGATCATATTATAAGCAACCTTTTCACACAACTGTCAAATGCTAGTTTCGTTGGTACCGTACAGAAGTATGTCTAGATTTATTTAGGTTCATGTTTGTAATAATTCATACACCAACCCTAAACTCATAAATCTTTCTGGCATAATAAGCGCCAACGAAAACCGACAATACACTCAACGCTAAGGGAATAGGTTTTTTATTCTTAATAGCACGAGGGATCATGCTTCCGGCCAATATAGTGGATGCAACTTTTTTTCAAAAAAGAGTTGGATTAGGAAATTAAACAATCATACATATATTGAATATTTAGTTAATGAATTTATATTTACCAAACGCGGACTCATGCCCATAATTTTTATTACGTTTTATCAAATATCTAATACATCAAAAAAAAAAATACTTAGTTTAAACATGCGCCCAAATTTTATTATTAATGTTAAAAGATTATTTACTTACCCACCGGCACCATATAATGCACTGATACCTAGGCCAGCCGTCAGTGAAGGTATTGATTTCGATGAAACATAACCAGCAGCACCCCCAAAAGCACCTATCATTTTTTAAAATAAATCATTATAAATACTAAAGAATTATCCTTGATGATTATAAATTTAATTTACATTTACATACATATTATAGCCATCGTGTAAGCAGGATGATAAGACATTTTGGATAAATTTTGTATGTATGTCTATCGGGAGTGATTCTTTCGAAAATGTAAAAATGTTTATTAACTAAAAATAATGAATATTCCTGAATTTATATGAAATTTTTACTTACGTATAATTAATACGGAAAATTGTTTACTAATTAAAGATATTACTAATTTTTCATAGGCACACGTGGACTCTTTATTTCATTTTAGAAGTTCAAATTTGATGAGTGGTACGCATGTCCATACATACATCGTAAATTACGTAAATTACGTAAATCATCAAAATAGTTGTACAAAATCAGACTCCGGAATCAAGCTCAAAATTTTCAAATTTAGGGATGCTAACGAGTCGATAACTTTTAACTTTAAGTTGATAGTCGTTCAAGTCGACTGATATGCAGAGTCAGTCGGCCCAAGTTTGAATTTATGCAATAGATAGATTTTATCTAATTAGCTTGCATAGATCCTTAACGAATATATGTAATAATACATTAAAGAAATTAATACGTATATTAAAATTTTTATATGCATTCGAATGATAGAAGGATCTCTTACAATATAGGTACGTATACATGCTGGACAAATCCGGACAAATCCCAAACCCCTAAAAAATAATTGCTAATTATAAAAAATTAAATCAAAAAAAATAATTCTAAAATTTTATAAATATATTATCTATAGCTATAAGAATATACTTGATTTATTTAAACAATGATT